GGAAACTGACATGTGGAAACCTGTGTTTCCTGTGCGAGTCCTGCGGCCCCTGAGCAGTCCTGGCCGTGCTGCCCCCTCCCCAGCTGCCTTCACCCTTTCCCATCTGCACCAGAAGACGCCGTGGCTGTGGAACCGGCATGTCTGGGCCAGGGGTCCCCACGGCTTACCGGCAGACTGCTTTTCTTGGTCAAGTCAGCAGGAGTGTAAATATTCAGGTAAAGACAGTCTTCGGACATCTTGACAGCAATGTTCTCCTTTCTGTTGGTAAAGAGGTCGGAGAGCACCTGCCCTGCCACTGGGTCCTGGGGGCACCTGGGCAGGGGAGAAAGAGGAACCTCTGAGGTCCAAAGAGACCTGAGCAAGGTGTCTCCTGGGGCTGGGCCGACCCTTGGTCTGGGAAGTTTCAGCCTGTAATTGTACTTGCCATTGCCAGACTCGAGACGCTGGAAGGGGGAGGAGGCATCTGGGGGTCCCGGTGGGGCCCTGGGACTCCCTAAGTCCTCTCAAGGCCAAGCAGAGTGAGATGACCTTGGCACCTCTCCCCTTCCTGGGGCTTTGGAATGCCCTGGCTCAAGGAGAGGAGGCTGCGGAGATGCTGACCCCCCTGGGAGGTGACATTTCCTGCTGTCTGAGGGGCTCCAAATGGTGGGATGCAGGGTGACCTTGTTCCTCCACCAGGTAAACATGTTCCAGTCCACAGGAGACTTCTGCACACCATGAGAAGTCACTCAAATGGCGGACATATAGGGGCTTCAACAGGTCAGTGGTGAAATCTTTGTGGGACAACATCTGCATTCTAGTCCTGCCTCAGCCACTCATTTGCTGAATAATGTTGGGTGAATTCCTTTCTGCTCTGGACCCCAATCTGTCAGGTGTAAGTGAGGGGAGTGATTTCTCGAAGGGTCTTGCAGCTCTGACATGCCAGGGATCTACCATCAACTCATCCTCAGCAAGTTCTGTTCGTTGCCCTGATGACAGATCCCAAAGATCAATGTAGATAAAAATTGGTAATATTTATTGAGTCTTCCAAGTGTGCCAGGTACTGTTTTAAGTACTATTTATGTAGTAACGTCTTTAAGCCTCAGGTCAGCCCCATGACATAGGTTCTATTATTATCCCCATTATACAGATGAAAAACCTGAGGCACAGAGAGGTTAGAGAACCTGCCCAGGGCCACATAGCCAGGAAGATCCAGGCTATGTGGGGTGTACATTTCCGAGTACATTATAAGCAACGTTCCCAGATCTCAATGTACCCAGGAGGCGGCATCGCAGCCCCACTGTGCACGTGAGGACGGAGGGACTGAGGGGCCAGGAGGACACAGCCGTCAAGTAGCAGAATCAGAGTCAGCAAAGTGACTTCCTGACTTCCATTCAGGGACATTTGTCCCCAGATCACCAAGAACAAGGGCAGAATATTCAGTAAAAAAGAAACTGAAATGTCAAAAAAGAGAAAAATAGTTCAACCTTATTAGTACTCAGATAAATATAAATAAAAAGCAAAATAATATTTATCACTATCATTTTGCAATCCAATAGCCAAAAATCATTATTTTAATAACTCTAAACATTGGCAAGAGTCGGCTGAATCAAGGTTTTCACACATTAATAGAAGGATTGTAGTTGGAACATTTCTGGAGGGAAATTTAACAAGAACTACAGACTTCTGACTCTGCCATGTCATTTCTTGAAACTTCTAAAATATTCTTAAATGTGCATACATGTTTAATACAAGCTGTTAATCACAGTGCCATTTATATTGTCGAAAACAACTTAATGATCCCAAATAAGAAATTGGGTAAATTAATTATGGTTCAATACCCAATGTAATGGAGATATTAAATGCCAGGTTGTACAATGAGCAAAACAGGCCTCCAAACTATCCGTACACATGATGCCATTTGCAAGAAAGAAAGTATGCAACAGATAAAAGACTGGGAAAATGATCTAAAACATTGACAACAATTCTCTCTGAGTGGTGGAATTGACCATGATTTTAATTTTCTTAGTTTTCCTTCCCTCTATTTCTTATATTTTCCGTAATAAGTGTGTATTACATTTGGAAACAGAAAATAAAAACGGGGAATATTATTTTTAAGAGAAAGGAAAAGAAAGGAAAGGAGAGAAGGCAGCCAGAGGTGGGTCCGGAAGGTCCTGAGAAACGCCTTGCTGAGGAGGTGAATCGTGCCTGGGGTGATGATGCATGCAGGTGTCCGGGGTGCCCTGGCAGGGGAGCTGGGAGGCCAGCTGGGAGCTTGGGCTGCTCTGCCCAGCTTGGCCAGGCAGGCGGGACACACCAACCATTGCTCTGCTTGTGAATAAGTAACTAGACACACGTGGGAGCTGAGAGCTCGGCAGCTCCACACCCAGTACACTCCCCACCCACCCACCTGTCCTCCACACCCCACCCCCCAACTGTGTCAAAGAGCAAGTCAGAAGAATTAACAGGATTATTACTTCTGACCATCTGCTCAACTGCTTTTTTTTCCAGAGCACTTACCACCTTCTAACATATCACATTATTCATTTAATAATTTCCATATTATTCACAGTCTGTTTCCCTCTGCTAGATCACAAGCTCCATCAAGCTAGGGATCTTTGTTTTGTTCACTAATGGATCCCAAGACTTGGAACATATATGCCCGGCACACAATAGGTGTTCAATAAATGTGTTGAATAAAGGGCTCTAGAAAATTGTGAGAGTTCTAGAATGTTCTTAAGGTTCTACAGTGTTCTTAAGGATTCCAGAACAAAGTACAAGCCAAGCAGGGGGTTGCCGGGACTCCGTCCTGCATCACTTTGGGGCAAACATCCCCACTGAAAGGTGCCAAAGCCGACCCCACGGGCTTACATGGGCGGGTAGGAGGTGGTGTTCTTCACAGAGCTCCACGGCTCTGCAGGCTGCGGCGGAGCAAACCTCAGGGATCCGAGGGGAGGCTTGGCAAAGGGGACTCCCAGGAACTCGGCCACAGGCTGTGCGATTCCTTCCAGGTGGACGTACTTCCCCAGGACCTTGCCATGCACGGTGTCCACCAGAGGAGGCGAGGACGGATGACCTGCTGGACATCAAGAGCAAATGAGGACACATCAGAGGTGCAAGGCTTGACCTGGATTCCAGGTGGGTTTTGCCACTTTCTAGGCATGTCACCTTGAATAAGTCACCTAAGTCCTCCAGGCCTCGGTTTCTCCTTATGTGAAAAAAGGGTGAGGGTCACTGTCCTTCCTAACTCACAGAGGGGTTTTAAGGAGCAAATTGGAACAGGAGGTGGAAAAACACCCGGTCAGAAATAAATGCAAGGAGGAGAGCTGCTGGGAAAACAAGTCACTTGGTCTCCCTCTGAGCAGCCTCTGGAACATTCATCTATTACAACCTGCATGGAGCCACATGCAGGGTGACAGGGTGAACAGGAGGTGGCCCCTATTCCCAGGACCACAGAACCTCGCAGGGAGAATGAGCCACATACACACTAGAGCCCAAATCTGGGAAGACAGTGGTGGTGTCCTGGGAGAGGCACCTGGGAGGTGCTTCAGGAGGCAGAAGAGGGGTGAGGCCATCTGGCTGGTGGCGCATGGAGGGGCTGGGACCTGCAGCAGGAGGACTGAACGAGGGGGGATGAAAGCAGGGAGTGGTGTGAAGCAGACATGAGAGAATGTGCTGAGGCTTGGAGACAGCAAAATGCAGAGCCTGCCCGGGCAGGGCGAGCGGCCCGTGGGCACCAAGTGGAGGCTACGGGGAGTGGAAATGACCCTGGGGCAAGAGACTGTGGGTCAGGGAGGGACTACAGTGCCAGGCTAAGCACTGGGGTTCTATTCCATAGACAAACGAGCAGCAGGAGGTGTTCTGGAGGAGGGCACGTAAGCGTGGGGAGGACTCTGCCGTGGCTCAGAGCAGGACATCCAGAGGAGAGAGACTGGGGGACACAGTCCCAGCTGCTCCACTCTGCAGAGCAGACAATTCTTCCCCCCTGAGCTGACGTCCACGTCCCTGCAGCTTCCCCGTCAGCCCTGGTTACACCTTCCATGAGACCGAGCTGACCTAATGTGATCTCCTGGGGCAGGTGGCCTTTCAGACGCTTCATCACGCCACCCCCTCCAAGTCCTGTCTGGCCTCAGTGACCTCGATTTCTCTGAGCAGCCTTCCCAGGAAATTGTTTCTAGCCTCTTGTCCTCCCCACTGAGCTGCTTTGGTTAGAGACAAACATTCAACACTTTCCTCAACGTGTGTGGCCAGAACAGAAAAGAATAATCCAGATTTGGTCTCACAGGAGAATATCCAATGACATTAGAAACTCCTTACGCAAAACCTGGTTAAAAACAGTATCCACGTCTCATGTTATAATGGCCAATCCTATTCTG